CAACACACAGAGACGCAACTGTCAGTTCAAATCCAAGAGTGATAGCGATAGTAGAAGTATTAGCAGTAATGGAGAAGATTAGGGAGCGAAGATATGATTCGAGAAGTATAATTCAGTGAGATGAATTTAGAAGGAGAAAGGTAGAGATTATGAGGAATTCAGAAGCTTAAAATTTCATAGAACACAAAGAGTGGATGCACCTGCGCCATTGCAAGCGATTCTGAACCATGTCGTTTAAGGTCTCTAACTATCGGTGACTTTCGTCTCGCGGATCCCAACCAGGCAACTGACATCTACCAACATGACTCAGTACACTTGTCAGTGACTTCATGGATTTCTGCCATGTTTTGGTCTGGCCGCCCCTAGCTTTCTTCCAACCTACTCCTACACCACAAAACATAGCTCGTCGAGGCAGTCGGTGGTTAGGCATACGTAACACATGTCCCAACCACCTCAACTGATGAAGTTTTATTAAGTAGCCAATGACACTGTAACGAAAAATAAAATCCGGTATTCAATATTCAATTGGGGAAAAAGATCAATATATTGTAGGCTTGTTAATAAAACAAGGTTGTTTTTGTTTTGTTTTCCCAATAATCATCTCAATCTCTAATATTTAAACAAAAATTACTTAGAACGCTACGAAACAAAATTGATGTTTACCACGAACTATTTTTATTACTACTGCTGTTATCTATACTCACGTAACATCAAACTAAAACGTTACTGTTGTTACGGGAAAAATGTTTTTATTTTAGTGTAGATAATTCACCTTAAATTAATTTATTTGAAATTTAAATCAAATTAATAAAATTAATTATATATGACGACAATTTAGGAAAAAGAAAAATATTTCACAGTTCTATTTATTGCTTGAGACTAGATGGCGTCATTTATAGAACTACAGAAAATTATAGGGCATTGTTTTTAATAGAATACTATACACTATAGTGATTTTGCAAAACTTATATTACACATTTGAAATCATCAATCAATCATTGTTAGACCACCATTAGAAACCTGGAAGCACTGGACAGCCGTTTCGTCCTGGTATGGGACTCATCAGCAGTGCGCATCCACGACTCCTGCTCCTCGCAGGATTCGAACCCGGGACCTTTGGCGTTGTAGGCGAACGCCTTACCACCGGACCACTGGGGCGGCATCCAACGGTGTTAATGTCTAACTCTGATTGATCTAGGGATTTTGCGCGACCTCACCCATTTGTCTTTGGTAGTTACTGCCTACACCCGACAGGGTTGAACTCCATTGGTCACGTCTTCTCAACTAGAACTCTGAGAATTTACTCACGAAGCTAGTCACTTGTGAGCACTGTTACGATATTTTGGGGCACAGTTTTGGAGGTTTAGAAATAATCGATCACTATCATCATCATAATAATTTATACTGACAAAACCTTCCCGTACAAATAATCCAGAGTATTATCAGTATAGGGCTGTGGACATTGTTGAGTTTCATTGAAATCATGAACTGATCAATATTAGACCACTATTAGAAACCTAGAAGCACTCACTGGATAACTGTGTTGTCCTAACAAGGGACTAATCAGCATTGCACATCCACGACCCGGCAAGCGGGTCTTCTGCGCGAACCTTAGACTTCTTGACCACCGAGCTGGCAAGCATTAGGCTTGAACAGAGGGAATTTATAAAAAAAATTACGATATTACGGTATCATTGAAGTTGTTACATTCAGTTAAACATGAAGTAAAGACGGATGTATGATTAGCGAATCTACCAGAAACAATGCTATACAGTTTTATAACTTCCTGAAAGGTATGTAACTTTCGAAACTTGTAATTAATCACACTATTTATAGAAAACCGTTACTCATACCACTGAGACCAATTATATTTTCATAGTATTGTGTTCCTGACGAAAGCACCCAACTGCGTCTCAAGACAAGCCTACACTTGGAACACTCAAGGATAAGGGAGAAAAAGAATGCCCAAGGAACTCCTTATACCAAAAAATGGAGACAGGCATAAGAAGAATCAACAAAACTTGGACAGAACCGGAAAGGGAAGCTCAGGACAGAGTAGGTTAGAGAACACTGGTCGGCAGCCTATGCTTCATTCAGTCAGTCAGTCAGATGCAACGTAGAACTTTGTACATAAGTACATCAGTTCATGTTGCCATAGCACATCAGCACAGAGAAGTAATCGTCAATTCAAATCCAATAGTAGAAGAGGTAGTAAGGGAATTAGAAGTAATTGGAGAGGTTAGGATTAGAAGATACTATTCAAGAAGTATGATTCAGTGAGATAAGTTTAGAAAGTCGAAACTAGAGGGGTTTAAGAATCCAGAAGATTAGGATTTGAGAGAACACAAAGCATAAATGCACCGGCGTCATTGCGAACGATTTTGAGCCATGTCATTCAAGGTCTCTAACCATCGATTACTTTCATCTCGTGGACCCCAACCAGGTAGTCGACAATTACCGACATGGCTCAGTCCACTCGTCAATGAATACATGGATTTCTGCCATGATTTGGTCTTGCTGCCCCTAACTTTCTTCCAACCTATTCCTACACTACAAAACAAAGCTCGACGAGGCAGTCGGTGGTTGGACATACGCAACATATGTCCCAACCACCTAAACTGGTGAAGTTTCAATACTTCATCGATTGATCTGCCATTCTTACCTAGCACCCGATTCCTAATAACAGCGTTGCTCACTCGGGTGTCCCACGATATACGAGGAATGCTTCGAAGACACCTATGATCGAAAACCAGCAACCTACGAGTATCTTCTACTCTCACTGGCCATGTCTCACAGCCATAAAGTAAGACGGAGCGAACCATTGCGCAGTACACTCGTACTTTAGTCAGCAAACTGATATCTCTCCTACGCCATAAGTGACGCAAATTGGAAAAAGCCAATCGAGCCTTCTGTATCCGAGCTGAGACTTCGTCAGTCGCCAGGCCATCGGCACTGATGAGACTCCCAAGATAAGTGAAGCGGTCTACACGCTCGACTTCTTCACTACCTATCACTAGTTCAGGTGCCGATGCAACCCAGTCTTGAAGCAACATTTTGCATTTCGAGGGGGAAAACCGCATCCCGAACATGCTTGCATTGTTGCTTAGGGTAGTCAGAAGACTCTGCATTTTGTCAGTATCTTCACCAAGTAGGACAATGTCATCGGCATATTCTAAGTCAATAAGCGAGCCACCTGGTAGAAGGTCTACTCCAGAAAATTCAGACGAGGATAATGTTATGTCTAGGAGCATGTCTATGATGAAATTAAACAAGAATGGAGAAAGTGGACATCCGTGACGGACACCATTTGATGTAGAGAATTCCGGTGACAGTTCGCCATAAGCTCTCACTCGGCCGGTGGTGTTCGAGTAAAGGGCTTGTATAAGGTTAATGTACTTCTTTGGTACACCTCTCAATGACAGACACTGCCACAGAACCTTACGATCAACAGAGTCAAATGCCACCTTAAGGTCTAGGAAAACAACTATTGTAGGAGGCCTAGATGTGTGTCTATGTTCCAGGACCTGTCTGAGTGTGAAGACGTGGTCTATACATCCACGTCCAGGTCGAAAACCAGCCTGGTTTTCTCGAGTCTGCTCTTCACGAGCTTTCGTTAAGCGTCGAAGTATTATTGAGGCCAGTATTTTAGATACTCTATGCTTCATTGGGGGTAACAGGCGTAAGAAAGTAAGTAAGTATTGTGTTCCGTAAACAGAATCGTTTAAAAACAAAACTTTCATTATTTTTATGAACATTATTAACACTGACTAATTCGACTTGTTAGTATTATTTATTTTATCTTGGCCTATTGATTTAATGTAAAAACCTAAGACGATGAATATACGTCACAGTTCAGATGTTATTAGTTACTGGTTAATAAGACCTTTTTATCTTATGATGAACAAATTTCCATGTTTATGTTTATGTACTCTATTTCGTATCGTACAATTTACATATCGGTTAATAATGTTAACCAGTATTTTAACCTGAAACAATCACATCTGGGTTACAACCTCAGTTGTATTGTTTGGAGCAGAAACTTCGGAAAACTACCAAAGCCATCATCCAGATGACACAAGTTTTTATTAACAATTGTCTGCGCAAAATACTTCAAATCCATTAGTCAGACACCATCAGCAAAAAACCTTTTTTGTGAGAAAGAACACACAGGATTCCAGTGAAGGAAGAAATCAGGAATAAGCGCAGGAAGTGGATAGGACAAACTATGAGAAAAGCACCCACATACGTCACAAGACAAGCCCTCACTTGAAGCAATCAAGGTCTCAGGAAGAGAAGAAGGTCAAACATTACATTACCCGAGAAATGGAGACACACATGAGAGGAATGAACAAAAATAGGAGAGAAATGGAAAGGGAAGCTCAGGACAGAGTAGGCTGAAGAATACTAGTCGGCAGCCTATTCTCCATTAGGGGTAATTGGCGTAAGTAAGTGCGTAAGAGTTAAAACGTGGAATCTATCGCTTAAATAGGAATTACTTCAATTAATATAATCCATCAATATAACATAATCTTATATTATTTGAAGTTTAAAACAAAAATATATATTCTCCCTAGTTTAGTTTAATTTCAACTCTAATCTCTACCTACCTACCTACCTACCTACCAAAACATTTCAAACAGAAAAAAAATAGGTTAGATCTAGAATAACAACAACAACCGATCGATCTATCGATGAAATAACACAAGAAATAAATTTCTAAAAACCAGGTTAAACTCTCTAATTAATCTACCCTAATAATAATTAATGCATATATATATATATATAACCTTTTGAAAAATAAACGAAGGGAAACTTAAAAATTAAAATGACAAATAAATTAAATAAATAAAACAATCACTCCCCTACGCTAATAATTATAAAGTTTAATTTACCATTTCACTGGATGAAATAATATGCATATATATATATATACCTAATAAATATGATCAGTTATTACTTGCTTTTCTCAAAAGAATTAAAACAACTGATATTTTGAAAAATTAAATAAATAATTCACTGTTGAAACCAGAAACGCGAGCAAAAAAGAAAAAAGGATATCCCCATTCAATGATAATTTTTGAATATTTTCTAATAGCATTTTCTTCTGAGAATATAAATAATGTTTTATGATTAGATGGATGTAATCCAGGTATCCCGATAGCTAATGTACGTTTAGCCAAATTATGCATTGTTTCATCTTTGGATAATTCTAAATTATTTACATTTTCTTTATAATAATTATGTATATGTAATTTTACAGGTTGACAAGTTGTAGTAGGGATTATTGTAGGAGTGGTGATAGTTGTAGTTGTACTACTTCGGTTATTAGTAGTAGTAGTAGTAGTAGTACTAGTTGCTGTTGTCGGTGTTGTTGTATGCATTGACTTTTTGAAAGAATCTAATTTTTGATAAACTATTCCATTCTTAGAATCATTGTCATCATAACTGTGAGATTTATGATGATCGGTTTGATGTGGATAACGTGTTGGGTGAATATTAGTATTATGAGGAACATCAACGTGCCTATCATTCATCTGGTTGGTTTTCTCTGCTTCATCCGTTTCATCTTCGTCAAGATTATTATCATCACGTAATCGATTGGTTGAAATATTATTACTATTATTATTGTTACCTATACTAATTGTGTTTGAAGTTGATATGTCATTGACTGCATTTGTGATACTTGTATTAATGATATTAGTATTCTGATTCGATTTATGCATGTCATGACCTTTGTGATCAACCATCGTTTTTTTTGTACTAGTTGTTAAACCATTTTACCAATCATCAAAGAAACAGGATAACATTTTGTGATAACTGACTTTCAAATATTCCAAGGTTTAGGTTGTTTTCGTTGTGTTAACATTTTTAATTCATAGTTGATAAAATGGTTGAATAGACTTTAAAGTTAATTGTACTTCAATACTCCATGTCAATAGGTAAACATCTAGGTGATCAATACACGCATAAATTTATGTGCTAATCGAATTCACGGGATCAATGACATTTGTTTGCAGACAAACAAATTATTAACTGTGAATAAATTATTTGATTTAATAATCCACTAAGAATGTCTTGTCATTGTCGTTCTTGTAAAAATTAATAATCCTGTGAAAACTGATTATTCGTAGTTGAAACAGTGATTTTAGAAATGACAACTAACTAATGATCTCTAATGAGCAGCACTATAAAGAAATATTGCTCTAGGTGAGACATACGCACAAATATACATGACAAAAGTATGAACGATCGACATCGTCTCTGATCGATAGGTAGACACATACACACATATACCGTTTAGCGATTTTGCCTTATTGACAAAATAATAGAACAAACACACATAACAGAAATGGTTTCATTTTAGCCGCATTACTCAACGAAATGAAAGAATGTATGGGTACATACAAACATAGTTTGATCCTACTCATAAATATATAAATGTGAATGGGTGTGCTTAAATGTCTTGCCTATCACCTGTCCATCACGTGAACAAGTGTATGTCTTTCTTTCTTTCTCCAATCCTATCATTGTCCAATGACAGGATTGATCAAATTTCTCAACAAAAAAAATCTCAAGAAAAAAAATCCTATAAGGACAGTTAACTAATCTAAAAGAAAGAATCTAATTGTCCATACAAAAGTCACGTATTCTTTGATTTGTAGAAATTTGTCAATGAACAGAAATGTTCACATTTGATTCAAACGAAATGAATTGCATTTGTTAGGCAATTTCGCACAAGAGAATAAACTTATTACTAAAACATAATGATCATGTTCTTTGTGGTACCAGATAATATGAACTGTTAGGTGGTTGAACCTAGATTTTGTTTTATATGGCACTTATCAGTAAGACATATTTGTAATATTGAGGAAACTAGTGATTCTTGTCCTGTTTGATCTAATATCACACAACTTGACAATCAGAGTCGATACAGAAACAACAAATGACTCTCAGAAAGATTGACGTATTTAAAATAGATTAATTACTGAGAAGTAACCAAATCCCGTCTCCCAACATTAATTCATAAATCACTCAAACTAATGAGTGTAGTACACGTCGATCGACAGAATTCTATCCCTTCTGAAAAATGGGGCTGTTATGTCCTTTATATGAGCCAATATGGAGGTGAACTATGACTAACCAATTCTCAACAAAGACAAAATGACTTGACCGCTCTATTCTCGAACTACAGCCTAGTACTAACTCGCCCTAATCGAAAAGGAAGAACAAAGACCAATTACCACTAGTCCAAGATTCATTAATATATTTCAGACATTCCTTTATATACACCAAAAAAAAACCACACCACATCACATCAACTAATAAGAGACTGATAATAATAACCTAACAACAGATTATGAATATTAAATTATACAACTAATGAGTTATTAAAGAGCTCAGAATAAATCAGATATTTATAGATAATAATCTTGTTACTTAGTAATTTTTTACGATGAGAAAATAATCCAAAAACTAGTTTTTTTTAAGTTACCTATTCACTTTAGTCTCTTTATTATCCGGATACAACGGATACTAATATATATAGCATTGGACACTGTTGAGTGATCATCATTCAATTATGAGGTATTCTATACTATCCAAACTCTTATTAAAAATCATCACTAAGGTAACTGATTCTTTATTGACTAAAACCACTTGATAAATCTAATGCATTTTTAACATTACCTCTTAATATATTATCTAGTGTACAATTTGTAGATTGTAATAGAATAGCTAATTTCCATTGTTTCCATTGTCATAAATTCACTTGACATTAATAATAAATTAGTATTTTAGCATTTCAAACTTTTTTTTTCAGAATAATATGTAATATTTTTGAAATAAGTTCAACTGAAACCAGTTTAAGAGATTTAGTTTCCGTCAAGAAATGAAGTCGCTTTTGAAGAACTACTGATAGATACTAAGAAGCTTTAGACAACCGTTATATATTTTAACGTCAAATACAAGACTATAAATGGGACCGAGCTCAACTGTACTAAATCAATTTTCTCTTACCTCTATGAATTTTAAATTGGTTCTTTAACTGAATTTTAGTCTGTAACAAGAAACTATCTGTAAATTAAGAAATCTCTGTAAATTAACGTGACGAAAATAATGAGCTCATTAAATATATATATATACAATAATGAAGTACAAATTACAAAATTCCATTGTTATTTTTTCAGTCAATTTTTGTCAATATCCATGGTTGAAATCCCAATAACAGTCACGAACATGGATGAGATTGAAAAAAAAATGTTAAAGATTTTCAATAGTGAAAATTTAAAGAATGCTTAGGAATTTTCGTAAGCGTGGGACTTAATTCTATCTTCAACTAATCTGTTGGGGATGTTAGATCCCCAGAACTCGCCTGATAAATGTCTTTATTTTGGATTTATTTCATGGACCGATCAGTTGACCCTGAGATCACATTTCCCACCACGAAAATCCTTGTCTGTGATTGGTTACTGTGTCTTTTTAGTGTGCTAATTTTGTGACTGTCCCAAGGACGTCTCTATAGAGCATAAATAAATGCAGTTTGAGTGCCCGGATACATTGTGTGCTGGCTGGGTGTTTGTAGAATACACTTTCTACTCTAGATCAACACTTCTTGCTGGTACAATTGGGACAATCGGATCAGGGTAGCTTACCTGGACGCTGGTTCATTGTTTTGTTTTCGTTATTTGACTAAGGTGAACCCATAATAGTTTTAAGCATACCTAGAGACGAGTATAACACAATTATATTCACCTACGTACACTTATGCATTAACATAATCGATCGCATTTTGTGATTATCCGATAAATGACATTCGTGTTGACACAGGCAGAGAAGGTAGCCATGTAGTGTTTGTCAAGTGAACTATCTTAAGTTTGTTTTTTCTTGTTATGTTGTTATGTTATTGTGCCTGCACACTATGGAAGGGATTGTAGGATACGCTAAGCACTAGCAATCTTAATCATCTGTTTGCAACTTCCAAGTCACTTTTAATGTGGTGTGAGTTCAGTCGGTTTTTTCACTTGATAGTTGGTTTGATGAAAATTTCCAGACCGATTATTATAAGTAGTCATTTTTCCACAATACATCTATCAAGTATTTCCTAATATTTCTCAGTATAATTGTGTTACTTTTTTGTATAAGGTTTGTATGCAGCTTAAGTTGAGAGTTATATAGGTTGTCGTTGCTACAACTGAATCTTAGATCAATACAATTTGGCTTCCAATATAATTCAACCTTAAATTTGCAAGTATTGGTTCTGGTAATCGGGACATTAACAAATGACTGTTTGTTCTCTGGTTTCATTTCTGATGTCAACTTTCTATCATTAACGATGCTTCTGATCAAATTGTTCAAGATTTCTAGTTATTCCTTTTTGATAATGCTGAATAGATTTATATCAATGATTTGTGGCTTCTTCAAATAATTCAGATATCAGTGATCCCAATAAGGTTTATTAATATAATGTTGGTTTGGAAATATATTTTTAAATGTACAGTGATGGGAGTGATTAAAATTTTTGTTAAGTTCGTCACTAGGTATGCTTGAGGCTATTACGAGTTCACCTTAGTCGATAAACGCGAACAAGGCAATTACCAGAGTCCAGGTAGGCTACCTTGATCCCAAACTCCAAAATAGAAGTCCTGATAAGCGTAGAAAGTATATTCTACAAACAGCCAGCAATCACAGTACAATCAAGCATACAACTCTCGTTTATTTATACATCATAGAAACCTCCTTGGGACAGTTACGAAAATAGCACACTAAAATACACTGCAGCAAATCACAGCCATGGATTCTCCTGGTGGGAAATGTGATCTCAAGGTCAACTGATCAGCCCATGCTGGCAAACGTGAAATCCAAGATAAGGCATATATCAAGCGAGTTTTGGGGATCTAACATCCCCAACACTTTTACATCGGATTTCGAAGAATACTGAAAGATTTATATTACTGGTGTATAAAAATGGGAGTATATTTTAGTTTGATTAAGATGAATAAGGCTATCATGTCAAAGGATGCCATCAGTTCGTTGTTGAAGATTTCGAAGTCTGTGACCTTTTTCTGCTTAATATTATTGTAATTTATGTAATGTGACTATGTTAAACAAAATGATACTTATCCCTATGAGTGAATTTGTTTTATATATAGCACTAAATGTAAATAATGAATTTTTTTTTGTTTGAAAATATCGTCTTTCCTCCGTCTTCTTACCTTAGTAGATTGTCAACACTAAGTGTTGTTAAGTATTAGTCATTAATCTATTTGTTTGATTTAATTCAAATTATGTACAATTTTGTCCTATTCAAATTATACAAATGAATGATAAATACCATTAAATCATCTATTAATAACTAGTTGTATAATCATGTCCAAAAAAAACAACAATTGAGAAACGTTTAAGACTAAACTCCAAATCACTCATAACTCAAGAAAAAACTTGAAAATTTTATTAGTTATTTGTACCAAGATTTTCATACTACAAAACAATAATTTAAACTTTGTAGGATAACTCTTTGAACTCTAGGGTTACTGTTAGTTACAAGCCTGGCTACGGGAGGACAGTGGAGCATTGGGTTAATAACTCAACCTTTTTTGATAAAAACCTTTCTGAAAAAACGCTTAATAGATGAACTAATTTGGAAGATTTATGAAGCTTCATGGGGAAAACCGAGTTTCCTAGGAAGTCACTAGGTTGATGCTCATTTTGACAATCAAAGTAACAATTAATATAGGTAAATAGAATGTTC